ACTTTTTAATTTTTACACCAGGAGCTAAAGGTCTGTTTCAGTAAAGCACATCCCCAGCAATTGACATTTGTAAGATTGAGCTGTACAAGGATTCACACACCGCTAGTTGTTAGTGTTGTACATATACTGTACATGAATTATTGTCAGCTAGTAAATGTCAAATTGAACTTGCGCTTTAAAATGAGCTTCTGCTAGTTTTTCTATGGCATAAGTGCTTTTGAAGTTGCGGACCTAAATATTTACATAAGCACTTTGGAAATTGCGGAGCTAATTTTTGGATTAGCGCTGCCCACAGTTGGAAATGAGTTTGTCTGTTTGCCGCCTCAGACTATTCACAAAGCAGTGATCGAGTCGATCCTGTCCTGAGCTCTCAGAAATGAGACAGAAGTAAAGGAGGCATGGAGTAAAACTCAGCTGTGTTGACTTGGAGCACAAAACATTAATTTTAATTTAAGTCAGTTTATTTATCTAGCATCAAGAAACATTCACATAATTATTAAAAGTTATGTAAGGAGACACAGAAAACATGTTATTGATAGAAATAATTACAAAAAACTAGGGCTGTGAAAATAATTGAGTTAACTCCGATTAATTTTAGTGCTGAGCATAGATTAAAAATTTTAATCGTGATTAAAATTTACAATCACTTTACTCTGGCTGAATATGTAGGTTTGTATATTACAATGCACTCAGTGCCAGTTCATGTTTGTAAATGAGAAGTGGTTCTCAAACAGTTTATCTGGATAAATAAAGGTTAAATGAATAAAATGCTTAAAAAAACTCCATGTTATGTACAGTTTTTTTGTCTTCTTATGGCTTATTTTATTTTATTAATTTATGTTTTGCTGACATCTGTGACCTTAGTATGTATCTTTCATTCCTCATGTAGTACTCATTTGGAATGAAAATCCTTGAATTCTTGATTTAATCGATATTCTGCACAAAATGTAACTGACTCAAATATGTTTGGAGCATTTTAGGTCCTGTTTTATATTCAAAAAAACTCATGTCTAAGCTTCAATTTTGTTTTCTAAATAAAAACATTAAAAACTAATTAAT